AAAAAAAAAGAAATGGAATGATTTGCCTCTTGTGTAATAAAAAAAAGAAGCTAAAGAAAAGAGCAAATTAAACCAAAAGCAAACAGAAAGAAGAAAATAATGATGACAGATGAAGAAAACAATGGACTCTGAAATAGAAAACTAATGGAAAATTAGTAAAGGCAAAGTTCGTTCTTTGAAAATGTAAATAAAATTGATAAAACTTTTACTGGACTGATAAAGAACAGTAATTCTCTAAAGTAATTTCTTGTTAGAGGTTTCTCTATGAGCACCACAATAATATTATTTCAACCATCTGTTAATTTAACAAATATTTAGCACTTACTATACGCTAAGTGCTATCTTACCTGGTTGGGATACATCAGTGTTCAAAAAAATTTCTGATAGCAGCCCAGTGAAGAAGTTTTAATTAAGGGCTACCTTATGAGAAGCTATATATAAGCCAGACTCTTCAGGAGCAAAAGAACAAAACAAGAGGCATTAGAATACCTGCCTTAAAACATACTACATGGGCCAGGGATTTAGCTCAATGGCACCGTGCCTGCCTCACAAGCGCAAGGTCCCAAGTTCGATCCCCAGTACCACAAAAACAAAAAAACCCAAACATATTACAAAGTTGTAGTAAACAAGAGTGTGGTATTACCATAAAAAGATACATTTACCAATGGTATAGAACAGAGATTCCAGAAATAAATAGCTAACACATCTAGTCTACTGATTCTCAACAAAGGTGCCAAAAACATATATTGGAGGGAGTCTTTTCAATAAATGGTACTGGAAAAATTGGATATCTATGTGCAGAAGAAAGAAACTGCTCTCACCAGTTTCAAATATCAACTCTAAATAGATTAAAGTCTTAAAGGTAAGTACTGAAATGATGGTACTACTAGAATAAAACATAGGGAAAATGCTTCAGGATATTTGAATGGGCCAAGATTTTTTTGGATAAGACCGGAAAAGCAGAGGAATCAAGAGCAAAAATAGGCAAATGGGATAACATCTGCATAGCAGACGGACAGTGTTTCATTTACACAGCAAACATTCAACAGAGTATAGCAACAACCTACAGAATGGAAGAAAATATTTGCAAACTCTACCTCCAACAAGAGGTTGATATCCAAAATATATCAGGAACTGTAAAAATTCAATAAAAAAGGAAAAAAACTGGGAAATAGATTGAAACAGATATTTCTTTTTAAAAAAAGATATATGAGTGGCCAACACAGTACATGAAAAAATACTCAACATCATTGATCAAAGAAATGCAAATCAAAACTCTGCTGAGACACCACCTAATCCCAGTAAAAATGGATTGATAAGACCACGGAAAACAAGTGCTGAGGAGAAAAGGGAACCCTTGCACACTCTTGGTGGGAATGTGAATTAGTTCAGCCATTGTAGAAAATGGCATGATGGTGTGGCAATTCTTCAATAAATTAAAAATAGAACTATCACATGATCCAGAAATCCCACTACTGGTTACATCTACAGAGGAAATGCAATCAGTATGTTGAAGAGACACCTGTATTCCTATTTTTATTGCAGTACTATTCACAATACCCAAGAAATGGGAACAATTTGACTTCCATTAATGGATGGGCAAGTGAGGAATGGTACATATACACAGTAGAATGCTATTCAGCAACAACATGGATGGAACCGGAGATCATTATGTTAAGTGAAATAAATCAAGTAGAGAAAGACAGTACTGCATGGTCTCACTCAGATGTGGAATCTAAAATTGTTGACCTCAGAGAAGTTGAGAGTAGAGTAGTGGTTATCAGAGATTATCGAGATGGAGTGGGAGGGTTGGGGAAAGGGGGTACTAAATTAAACTAGAAGTTCTGGAGTGCACAGCAGGGCAACTGTAAATAACAATAGTATACTGTATATTTCAAAAAGCTAGAACAAAGGATTTTGAAAGTTTTTACAATAAAGAAATGATGTTTGAGGAGATAGACGTGTTTAACCTATTTTGCATTATGCAATATATACATGTACCTAGACATTAGATAAGAAGATATACATTTTTTGTAGAGTTCCTAAGGTTGTTAGATTAATAGGGGATTAAACACATGTAGTAGTTACATCTTGGATTCACAATGTTTTGCATTGTAGACATGCTACTGTCAATTTTATATTTGTGGTAACTGTACATATAAGACCCATGAAAGACAGAAATATTGCTAACTCCCTTCTACTACATCTCTTACAAATTTTCTTCTCATGTAGCAAAAAAATTTGAGTCTAAAGTGAGTTAAAGGCCCAGAAAGATTATCTAACTTGCTATTAATCTCTTTACATTTCAGTTTGGGAACATTCTATTGATATACTTTCATACTGATTCCTTGGTTGTATCTATCTACTGATAAGCCCACCCAAGTCATTCTTTGTTAACAGTGTTTTTAAAATTTCTCTACTCATATTATGTATCTGTTCTTCCCTATTATCAACATTTTCCAGCCCACAGTGTATTTGTCAGTTATTTAAAATTCCCACCTAACAATATTCAAATGTGTTATAGTTCAATCTGATTCTGATGCCTACTTTGTCTTTTAGCAAATTACCTTTAGCCTTGTAGTTTTTGTTGTTGTTTAAAGCTGAATGTGAGGTACTGGACAACATGAGCCTAGGCTTTTAGTGTGACGTGAGGTTTTACATATGACCAAGCGTTGGGGTCTGTTTAATGTTTGCTGTAGCTGTAGATGCCAGAGACTTCAAACTCATCTTGGTTTTTGCCGCTCGTTGTTGTCTTTGGATTTTTGTAAGAATTCTTTGTCTGATTGGCATACGAAAAGATTTCATGAAAAAAACCTCAGTTGCACATGAACTAGCACAATGAACAAGTGGGATCTCTTCTTATTAAAAAGCTTCTGCAGGGCCGGGGATTTAGTTCAGGGATTTTGCCACCTGCCTCGAAAGCACAAGAACCCGAGTTCGATCCCCGGTACCAAAATAAAAAAAAAAAACCTTCCACACAGCAACAAAAACCACTAACAATGTGAAGAAACAACCTACAATGTGGGGGAAAAAAACTCATCTGCTGCTCCTTAGACAAAGTTCTATCTAAAATCTATAAAAAACTTTAAAAAATCAGACCTCCCAAATTTAAAGACCCAGTCCAAAAATGGGCATCTGAAATGAACAGACATTTCTTAGACAAAGAAATAGAAATAGCAAAGAAACATATGAAAAAATGTTCAACATCACTGGTCAATCGAGAGATGCAAATGAAAACAACGCTGAGATTCCACCTCACCCCAGAAAGAATGGCTGCTATCATGAAATCAACCAATAACAAATAATAAATGCTGGTGGGGCTGTGGGGAAAGAGGAACCCTGCTCTGCTGCTGGTGGGAGTGCAGACTGGTGCAGACTGCTGGTGGAAATCAGTATGGAGTTACCTCAAAGAACTAGGGCTTGAGGTCCCATTTGACCCAGCTATTCCCCTGCTAGGTATCTTCCCCCAAAGAATTAAAAGAATCATACCACAGTGATATATGTGCACCCATGTTCATGGAAGCACAATTTGTTGTTGTTGTTGTTGTTTTCTGGTCCAGAGGATTGAACGCAGGACCTTGCGCTTGTGAAGCAGGTGATGGAACCACTGAGCTAAATCCCCAGCCCTCTCAATTTGTAATAGTTAAAATTGGAAGCAGCTCAATTGCTCATCAACTGGATTAAGAAAACGTGAGGTTTTTAAAAATAAAATGGAGTGCTACTCAGCCATAAAAACGAGAGATTAGAGACATTTATAGCTAAATGGATGCACACTGAGGCGATACTCTTAAGTGAAATAGGACACAGATGTGTAAATACTGAATCGTTTCTCTAGTGTGAGAAACTGAAAGTGTAAGTAAGGACTCAAAGGTATAATAGATAATGTGAAATAGGAAGAAAAGGGGCAAAGGGGAAGGGGAAGTGGGAGGGGGAGGGGAAAGGAAAGAAGGGAATGGAATTAATATGAGAAAAGGAAAAAATGGAAACAAAGTCAAATCTTCTAGCAGTAATCTACTGCTATACTGGAACCTTACAGGTGTGGTGTGTGGGAAAGAGGAAGTGTTCTACTATGATTTTAAGATTCATTCTCAGTCTTTTAGTACGGGCCTGACCTTCACAAGTGTTTCTTAGCTGCTCTGCACCACCACCCTCCCTTAGACGAGGCAGAAAATCTAGTGGAAACTGTAGTCAGAAAACTGTCCTTGCCCAGGTGAGATAAGATTAGCTCTGCTAAAATCTTTTCCCCTGAAAGTAGGCCTTTATTATGAGAAAGCTCTGAGGGTATTTCACAACTATTCTTCCAATCCTCACTAGAGCCACAGAAAATGTTTCTTGGTTCTTCACTACTTGAACCTGGAGGCACAATTTATGGAAGGGTGAAGACCCCCCTAAGAATATGCCCCCAGTAGTTTCTCTCATGCTAGTCCACAGAAAATCATCAGCAACTTCTCAAAATCATCATTTAAGTGTTTACACTAGTTGAAGGTTCTAGTGGCTTTTGCTTCAAATAAGTACATTTTGTCTCCGACTCTCTGGATTCTACTCTGTCCAAATTTCAGGGTGGTAATTTGTCCTACAACCTCATGTTTATGAGGGAAGCAAGAAAATTCACTGTTTTTTAATTTGTCGTGGTTGTTTCATTTTGGCTTGGTTTTGGGTTTAAGGTTGAGAGTGATAACTTCCAAGCTTTTGATACATGTAAAAACTTAAAAGTCCAACATGTTATCAATCTTTAAACAGACATGACTTCAAATTGGGATGACAAATTAAATCAAGTTATACTACTACGTTTTAAAACAAATTTAATTTTGACAAGAGTTCTCAAAGTGTATCAGTATATCTGACTTTTTGGACCCATTCTTGTTCTTAAATTCCATTTAAAATGGACCTTAGAGTTTGCCAGTGAAATAAAGCAGCCCCAAATCCTGCCACTATGTATGCATTTGGCTCTCTTCCTTGGCACCTGGACCATAGCGCAAAGATGCACGTACCTTAAGACATTTGTCCCCCAAAGCGTACAGACAGCTTCTGTGAAGGCTGGGATGCAGCAAGGAAGGCCGCCCTTGGGGCTCTGGGACGGAACCGGGATACCGGTCCCCAGCCCAGCGGGGAGGCCGGAGGGAGCAGGATACTCGCGTGGGAACTGGCTTCGCCTCAGTACTGAGCTGCAGATGAGTATTTATTTGAAAATAGTTTCTACAGGCCTCGACTGGGTCCTAAGCCTCAGAGGGAGGCGGTCCGTGGAAAATCTTCAACCCCCCAGCAGCCCGCGGAGGACACGCGTCCCTTAGTTTGAACTTGGGGCGATCTGACCTATTGGGCCAGTGGAAGTAGCCCTCCGGCGGCTCCGAAGAAGCTCGATGCCGATTGGGTCTCGCCTCGTCCAATGGGAAGCAGCGTCATGCGCGGGTCGCCGGCGGCCGTTGCCGGGACACCGCGTAAACACCGAATTTACGGCGGGAGAGGGGACCACGACCGCGGCTGAAGCCCGGTGCTTCGATATGTGAGTGGAGGAACCTGCCTTTTCGTCAGCCAAGATGGTGAGCCACTTGGGGGACTCTAAACTGAGTGTATTTAATTATTGTTTATAGCTTGCCTGCTTCTTAAAAAGGATTCGAAGTGCCTAATGTGAGAATGAAGCTGGAAATTTGTATTTGCTTTCATTATAGAAACTCTCTCCGCGGTTCGCTTCCTCTTCTGCACTCGTTAGATACGTCATTAAATCTGCCTATAGATTATCGGCTCAAATATATGGAAATGAAAGTCCGAGAGAGCAGCGGTTGACCCAGTAGGTTTATATTAGGCACCAGACCAGTCTCTGAACAGGACTTTGTGGCCCTGGGGTGGGGTGGTGGTTGGAGTGAGAGGAGGGGTGAATTCCTTCGGTGGTGCTGAAGAGTGAGGTCTGTGGAGCTCGGCTGCCTGTCTTTGAATCCTAGTAGTACTTTTGTTTAAATACTTTTACTTTTCATGCCTCACCTATAAAATAAGGAGTATTAGTACCTATTTGATTCATCAATGTATTGATCAGGCACGTTTAATATTTTGAAGGAAACCAAAACTTAACCTGTTTTTGTATCGTTTGGTACAGACATCATTGTGATTTTTCAAATGAGCCTTTGGAATATTGGAGTATGCATACCTTTGTTTTTTTCTATTATAGGCTTCCAAAAGGAGAATTTTGAGCTTTAGTGAAAGGCATCAAAAATTAGTAGATCAAAACTACTGCAAAAAATTGCATGTGGAAGCATTAAAAAAGATGGAGAGTCAAGTCAGGAACCAAATTGTGCAGAATGAAAATGATGAACGTGTTGAGCACAAGAGATTCCTCAGATTATTACAGGATGAGCAGTTTGAGTTGGATATGGAAGAAGCCATCCAAAAAGTAAGTTTTAATATTCCCTGTTAATTTTATCATTTGTATATTGGCAATGATGAAAGACAAAGTTAGTACTGGAATTGAGAAGCTAGAGAGACCAATAGCAGGTAAATGTGCTTCATTTTGAGTCCTTCCAGGTGAGTGGTAGAGAGCTGACTATTTGGAGCCAAACTGTCTTTGAATCGTAGTACTGGTTTATTTTAGCTGTGGATCCATAGGTAACTTGCTTTTACATTTTACGCTTCATATGTAACATGGAAAATAATAATGATACCTCCTACTTAGGATTATTTTAATGAATAATATGTATAAAGCCCTTAGAATAGTGCCTTACAAGAATAAGCATTTTTAAAACATAATTGTGAAATTTGTAATTATTGATTTACAGTTTTATTCATGTAAGTACAATTATCATGCTTTAAAATTTCTGAGAACAAAAACTGAAGGATGCCTTTTTGAATTACTAAAATTAAACAAGTATATTCTTAAGTGGTACAAAATGAAAATTTATGTATTAAGTGTAAATTTACTTATATTTTTTAATTTTTGAAACACTCCTTGAAGAATTCAGGTACCATGAAATATGGAAGAAATTTATCAATGGTATGTCTGAATATTTTAGGGGATCAGAGTAGTAGATGAAAGGAAACAAGAAGGAGATATACAAAAGAAATGAGTTCTCTTAAATGTGAAAAAGGTGTTCACATATTTCATTATTTGAGTGCCTGCTATTCATTCAGCATTTTGTGGGATGATGTGGGGAGTAGCAAAGGCAGGTTTTAAAAATGGAATCCATTCCTCTCCTTTCCAAGTTCAGGAGTTTAGACATGAACACAAGAAGCCACTTGGGATCCATGAAGATTGCTATAATAATAAAAAAGGAAAATAATTATTTGTAAAAATGTGGAGAATATGATCCTTTTTACATTCGAGTGGAAATGTCAAGTGGTGTAGTGGCTATGGAAAGTAGTTTAAAAGTTCCTCAAAAAGTTAAGTGCAGTTACTATATTACTCAGCACATAAAAACATACAGATGATTATCCATAGCAGTTTTATGAGATCCTGAAAGTGGAAACAAATGCCAATCAGCTGATGAGTAAATAAACAAAATATGTTATGTCTAAACAAGAGAATATTATAGAGCTATAACAACAAATTACTGATATATGCTAAAACGAGGTTGAACCTGGTAAACATTATGTTACATGAAAGACATAAAAAGGTACATACTGTATGATTTCATTTATATGAAATGTCCAGAACAAGTACATTTATAAAGACAGAAAGTAGTTTAGTCTGTGCCAGGTGTTACAGAAGGGGGTGGGTGAGAGGAATGCCAAGTGATATTAACAAGTACTCTATAGGTTTCTTTTTGAAGTAGTGTAAACATTCCGGAATGTTGAAAATTTATGGGGTGTGATTGAAAATACAGTGAATGTTTAAATTGAAACATTTATTACAGTAAAGGACACATTGCTATCAGTTTTCCCCAAAAATATTCCCTGCCCTATGAACACACTTATCCCATCATTCTTGCCACGTTCTGAGCAGTTCTGGAAGATCTCTTTCATGAGTGTCTTTAGTTGTGCTGTTATGGTTGCTTCAATGTCCTGAATTGATTCAAACTATTTATTTTTCACGGCCATTTCACTTTGAGGAAGAACTAGAAGTGCTATGGTACCAGAGAATGGTGAATAAGGTGGATGAGGACCACCGTCATGATTTCATGAGCCTATCTTTCTGTTGGATGGCACTCAGCAACATTCACTGTTTTTGATCACATGTCATCTGCTTTGATCACAGTATGAAAGAGGACTTCCAGAATTCCTTCAGAAAATGGCAGTAACAATAAGATAAGGGATTTTTAAGCAAGGGGAAATAGTTGGAGGTGGATTAATAGTAATGTGTCTTACACATGTGCAATAACTTTTTTATTTTTAAAAAATTAAACATTCACTGTATATTTTGATCATATTTCATGTATCTACAGTATATCTTCCAATACATAATATTTATAACACTTGGTAACTATAAATTGTTTTATCTGTAAATGCCAAAACTTGAAAGCAATCAAGATGTCTTGATAAACTTACATCTGTCACTCATTAGCTTAAAGTTTTTTTGCTCAGTGCAAATAAAAATTATAAACAGGCAAAGTGCAGCTCTTTTAGTATTGACAGCCCTGATCTCTGAATGCCAGTAGCTGTAATTTCTTAGGCTTAGTGATCTTTACCACTTGGAGTCAGCAGCTATCGGCAGACCTGAGAGACTCCTCTGCCCATCAAAGATAGCAGCTCCAGGCAAGTCTCTTGTTCTCCGTTGTTCTCTGTATGCTATCTACCTTCAGTGTTACCAGCCTCCACTCCTGGCTGCTTTTGGTGCCAGTGGCCTTTAGTGTTAGCAGTTCTTAGTAGAACAACTCAGCTTGCTCTCCTTGAGGTAGAAAGCATGAATGAAGAAAAATACGCCATGCAAAAGAGACTTTATTATTTATTTTTATCTTATTGCTGTGCAGCATAAGAGGTATTAGTGCATGGACTGACCCACTGGAGATATGGGGGGAAGTTGCTTATCTAGAAGAAAAGGGTGGATGTTTGCATGCGCAGTGTCAGACTTTCTTTTTAATCATGGGTGGGGGCTGCTTCTCATGGACCTCATTAAGGATGGCTACAGAGAGGCAGAGTCATCCAGAGCGCCTGTAGGGTGAGGTCATCTGTGGTAGACCTGTGATTGAAGCCTGCAGTTGCTGAAGCACATGTCTTCTAGAGTGGCCATGGGGCATCTGCCATAGCTGTGGCCAGCTGCAAGGCATTTGGGGTAGCCATGGAAGAATGAAAAAAAATAAATGAAAAGTATCTTCTGGAAGAATTGGGCCATTCCTGTTGCACATCTAGACAGTGTGGATGGGACATAAGATACCAGGACATGTTGGAACTTTAAATGCATTTTACTAAGTGAAAGTCACTTGGAAAAGGCTACATTCTGTGTGATCCCAGCAGTATGATATTCTGGGAAAGACAGAACTAGGAAAACAGTAAAAAGATCAGTGGTTGGGGAGGGTTTATTTTAATATTTTCTTAATGTTGGTGATGCTTAAAATTTTTACCATGATAAAATGTTTGAAAAAGTATTTGTTAAAATAATATTTTATATTTAAAAATAGTTAAATAGTTGACTCTTGCTCTTAAAATATGTAGTTTCTTGTTATAAAACAAATCCAAACATTGATAGAGAAAATCTGATTCTGGAGAAAAAATAACTAAGTTATATTCTTTATTCAGGCAGAAGAAAACAAGAGATTAAGGGAACTCCAGCTTGAACAAGAAGAAAAATTGGCTCTGGAACTGGCAAGACTAAAACATGAAAATCTAAAGGATGAAAAGATGAGGCAGCAAGTAAGAGAAAACAGGTATCTTAGTTTTTACTACTTTCATTTCTTTAGTATTTATCAATAAATATTATGTAATCCTTAATACCTGAAAATGAAAATCTCTTTGTTTATACTATTACGTACTATTTTGCCTGGAAATGCTGGCTTTAGTCCAGAAATATTCAATTTTGAAAATAAGTTGCATTCATAGTAGCATAAATATTTATAGTGAAAATTAAATATCAGTCCCTTTTGCCCTTTCCCGTAAGTGTAAATTTTTACCCTTACTATAAAAAACAGACTCATGGAATCCTGGAATATATTTATTAATGCTATCTGTTGTGGCTTGTATCTAGATGTCCCCCCTAAGGCCTCAGGCCGTCATAGATGGGGCTTTTCAGAGCTGGTTAGATCTAGGGGTTGTGATCCTGGGAATAAGAGTGTGTGCTACTGTCCACTGATTGGTCTGGCATAGTTCTGGGTTTGGATAATGAGAAGGCCCACCCTGGGTAAGGGTGGCACTACCCAAAAAGTTTGTAGCTTGGATGGGATAAAAGGAAAAGGGAGGCTGCTTTTGCTGCTTTCTGCCTGCCTTGCC